GTATTTCTACTTCATTCTTCTTTGTAGCACTATGTTATCATTTTAATTTCAGATTCTCTTGCTGTTATAAGATGTGCCGCTCACACGATACAATTGAGTGTATACGATGTAATAAAAAACGAAAATGTAAAATTGAAGTTTGAAAAATGTCGATTAACTGCAAAAAAGCTTCGCACATCGACTTCTGGTCAATAATAATTTGTTACCACCGATAGCTGACTGCCCCGCCCGTTGGAGCTATTCATACGATTTGGTGAAGCGCTTAAAAGCTGTTCGAGATTTCGTTGATCATAATTTTGAAAACTCAGATGTAGACTGGAGTTTTGTAGACGATTTTTTCAGTACTTTTGCTCCTATAAAGGCAACTACAGAAGAGTTACAAAACCAAAACTTGCTTTTTGGCGACTTCATAGCAATATTTTTGGAAATGTGCTTGGCCATAAAAAAAAAGTTCCAATGCATCTGAAATTTCAAGACTTTTATTCCATTCGATTACTAAAAGGAAGAAAATGCTACTAAGTAATGCAACAGTAGCGGCAGCCTTTTATTTAGACCCCAGATTACATCGTTTATTGCTAAGTCCTGAATTTGCGCATATGAGAGTAATGGCCGTTGAGTATTTGAAAACGCTACATTTAAAAGCTAGTCCGATTTTTGCTCAGGTATTGTTTATGATTATTGTTATTTTCAATATCACCAACGCTATATTATTTTTTCATATTTTTTGCAGTCAGCACAACCCCACATCATTTCTATAACAGAAAGCGAGAGTAGTATCGAAGATACAAGTACCGACTTACTTGGTGAATTATTAAATCAAATAAGTTCACCTACATACAGCGCCTCATGCACTTCAGAAGCTTATTTGGCTATTGAAACATTCAACGAATTTACCGACACTAAAACCAATTTAGCCGACTTTTGGGAACGAAAAAAGTTTTCACACATAATTTTGTATCAGCTTTCTCAAATTATTCACGCATATATATTTATTACATGCATAATTAGTATAAATGTAAATAAAAACGCGGTTCAAATAGAAATTCTAATACGACAACGGCAATTGCTTTGCATACGTACGAAGTACAATGTTCCATAACGCCGAACTACAAAATATTGACAATGTATACTTTTCCAAAACGCATCCGAAAAGTTATCGAAACGCATCGCTGGAGCAATCAGCGCATCAGAAACAAAGTTGATGCTTCGTTTGTTATTGGTTACCATCGGTGTTGCCGTTTTAGCCCTTTGGTGGCTAAATTTGGCTACCAAATTTTTTTTTTGGCCACAAAAATTTGAAATTGCTCCTAGCCCTTTTTTTAGCCCTTTTTAAAATTTATTCATCATTGACATTAAAATTTTTTTTTATGATTTAACTCTTCGCTCATAAAGCGAACGCCTTTCCTTTAAGGCAAGTAAACATATGTCTATGTATGTTCCTTACGTTTCTGGGCCGTTATCGTATCCGTTAACGATTTAACTATACATTAAATTATGTGTTACACAAAAAATTTTTTGGTTGAATAAAATATTAATTCTTTTCAGAGTTCATTGTTTTTCTATACCAGTAATTATAGAAAATGTTTGCGTGTATACTTACATATTTATACTAGCAGTGCTTCTCTACACCAAATATTGAAAAACGAATGAAAAGTCCTAGAATTTTTCTATATGAAAAATTGTCATTTGTTTTATTTCAAAATTTTTGATTCTTTATTTTAAATCTTAATCCAACACATTTGGATATACAAAATTTTTTGTTTTTCCATCTTGGGTATGAATAAATAAACAATTTGGAATGCCAACTCTTGAACAGGCCACGTATAGCTACTAATTCCAGTAATCTACCACAAATATTTCAAGAGATATACCAGAAGAAAATTTTTGTTAGTTTGAGTGGTGCCACGCCCCCTTTTCCGAATTCGGGGAAACTTAACCCAAACCATCTGCATAATAGCCCGACTATGACGTATAAATTTGGTTGAAATCTTGCACTTATTCTTTATATATAAGATGTGAGGTACCACGCCCTCTTTTCCAATACCGCCCATTTTTATCCATGAGTATGGAATTATTTGTTATACCTCTATACCAACTTCCAGTACTCTACGACAAATATTTCAAGAGATATACAACAACAAAATTTTAGTTAGTATGGAAGGTGCCACACCCCCTTTTACGAATTCGGGCAAACTTCACATAAACCATATGCATGATAGCCTGAATATTTTTATATTTTAGTTAGTATGGGTGGTGCCACGCCCCCTCTTCCGAATTCGGGAAAACTTTGCATAAACCATCTGCATGATAAATCGAATATGCCACATAAATTTGGTTGAATTCGGTGAAGCTGTTCTCAAGTTATGAGGTCACACCAAAAACGTGCACTTATTTTTATATATAAGATGTAGGTAAAAAAATTTAGCTACCATTTTTAGCCACAACAACGATTTTTAGCTCTTTTTTAGCCCTTTTTTAGCTGGAATTTAGCTACCACTAAAAATGTTTCGCGGCAACACTGGTTACCATTGGTGTTTTAGAAATGGAAAATTCAGAAAAATTTTTCATTGCTATATTGAATATTTAAAATATGCAATGTATATGGTTGCAATGTGTCACAACTCTGCATATACAAACAGTATGAATACCGCAGTATAACAACATCTTAACATTGTATTGATACGTTTTAGAAGTCAGCCTTATTTACGTTATGCATACATATCGCACATTTGCTGCAAGAGTGGCAATTCAAAATAATATAAAATCGAGTTAAGTATGCAGAAATTTGATAGCTGTATCGATTACTAGTACCTCACTAGAACAAAATATGTATTCATTTTACAATGCTAGTTTTTCATTTTTGGATCATGACACTCTTGTAGCAAATGTGCGATATGCCGTGCTCCTGCCGAAAGTGTCGCGTCAAAGCATAGAATCGCCCATTTGAAAAGTTAAGCCTATATAAAGCTAAGATGGTCTAATCTTTAAACAAAAGAAATTTTAATATTTTAACATATATGGGTTTTCGGTCATTCTCATCATAAATAGTACCGCTTACTCAATTGCTTGATTTGGTTGTTGTTTAATTGAATCGGCGGCACAAGGCTTTCATTTATTTTATTTACATCACTCTTTAACGTGCTTGGTGTACGTGGGGCGAAACACCCAAAAAATTCCAAAAAAAAAAAAACTAATTAGCTCACCCACGTAAACGCTACGCTGCTTGCTGGGAAAACGGCACTCACTTTCGACTACGCCTGGGCCTCCGGAACGCACACAAACACTGTGTCTGCTACTGCTGCAACTCGCTGCTTACTATTTCGCGGCCACGTTAACACAAATGAAATATCAAATTAATTACACACACACGAGGACCAATTTCGCTTTGAAAAATAGTTTTATTTGATTTATTTTAATTTACAACTTTCGATCCGATCAGTTTTAGTGTCGATTAGCGATTTAATGACTTCCTTAAAGCCAGCCTACGATACACCTTCTAAAAACGAATGTGGATCGTAAGCTCGGCAGGGTTGACAACACACGCGATGTAATTTTATTATTTTGGGCAACATAAGTATTGCCATATTAGTTGTTACCACATCGCGTGGTGCCATTACACCAACCGCCTATGGGAAAGCCAACCGACGTTAGCACACCATTTGTGAAAATATTAAGATTTTTGTATTGCAATCGATAGTTCGTCGATTATTCTTTAATGTTCGTCCATTTTTAACGTTTGTTCGTTAGCCAAAAATGTATAATTAATTTTTCAATTTTCACTTTACGTAATTCCTGAAGTTAGCACCCGCAATAGATTATTTTGGGTTAATTATTATTGCAATCGATAGTTCGTCGTTTGTTCTTCATTGTTCGTCTATTTTTAACGTTTGTTCCTTAGCCAAACATTTATAATTAATTTTTTACGTTTTACGGTTCCTGCCTTTAGCACCCCAAATGTAAGAATTTCATTATTTTCATTTGTTAACTGTGATAAATCGTTTGTTCGTCGTTTTCTCATCCCTAAAATCGAGCAAAAGCCGTTAATAAATTCATCATTTTTACTTTACGTTAAACATTGCATAAACGTTTTAACAATAATTGGAATTGGGGCCAATGAGCTAAAAAAAAGTAGGCGTGGATCGCCCTATTTTCCTGATTTTAACGGCATATTTTTTTTGTGTGCAAAATATCAGGGGTGGCGCTAAGTGGACTAAACGTTCAACATTTTTAAAAGCTTATATTTCGAAAACTATTGAACCGATTTTAAAACTATGCACACAGTTGGAAAAATGATTGAAGCACCTTTCATTCGATATATATTTATGTATATAATGTATACATATTTTGAGGAAAAGTACAAAAACCTAATTATGGCAATTGTTTATAAAAATGTAGGTTTTTCGTAAAAATATATGTAATTAACTATGTTAACAAATATTATTATCAGAAAGAGCACAAAAATATCTTTAATTTGATGTATGATTTGTAACAAAAAATTCTTCTGCACATTATATTTGTTTAAATATATCGTTTTATATGAAAAAGAAAAAGCGCCGCAAGCAACAATTTGGAATAAAAAATCCCGCGATGTTTTATTCCAAATTTTCATTAGCTGTATAGTAAACTATCGTTTTATATAAAAACTTAAAAATCGCCGCAGGTATGTATATATATTAAAGTATGCTTTTATATAAAAAAAAAGAAAAAAGCGCCGCTGGCATATGTTATAAAGTATGCTTTTATATAAAAAAAAAAACGAAAACAGCGCCACAGGAGAAAATTTGGAATAAAAAGTCGGAACAACGTCGTCTTCGTATAACTTACGTAAACTTTGAAACTTTTTTAAAGTACAATCTCCTGAAACTTCAAATTGGAAAATGTTTAGTTATTTGTACAACAATTTTGTGGCGGTGGGCGGAGGGGGTGGGGGCGTGGCCCGCCAAACCCCCCTTAAACGAAAGACGATGGACTGCGCTTTATGAAAAGTCACCCGTCCTCCTTCATCCCCCACAAACCCCAGGGAAACTGTATAAAAATAGGAAAAATTTAGATTTTTCGCAAATGGATTATTTATAAATAACCCTCACTAAGTAGAATTCTCCTTTTTGTGTTGCCGAAGAAGGAAATTTGCAAAAAAAAAATACTATATTTTGAACCGAAATTATTAATAAATTAGTGCACAGATATAGTAATTTTTTTTAAATAAAGCTTAGACAGCAACTCAAAATCGTTGTACAAATAACTAAACCGTACCCCACTAATTAGGTATATCCATATTTTAGAACTATTTCCAACATCTAGTGGTTAAGCAAAGACCCTATCTATAGTGAGTCCGAACAATGGGTCGTATGCATAAAACCTAAGCAAATGAATGGATAAGGATTGAGCCAAGAGCATGTGTGAGCAAATCCAATTCTTGGCAGCAAATATCAGTTACGCAGTTTTGCAGAATGACGATACGCGGTTTTGTACTTTAAACGACGATATATATATTATCTGTTTAAAACAAATTGTTACTTAGTAAAAGTAAATAAATTTTTTAATTGAAATCTTACCTTATTGTTTTAAACAAATTACTACTTTGCAAAAGTAAATGAATTTTTTTATTAAAATGTTAACTTATTGTTTTAAACAAATTCCTACTTTGTAAAATGTTATTTCTTTATAACAAATTGCTACTTTGAAAATGTACCTTATATCAAGAAATTGTAACTTTGCAAACGACTAGACTAGTATCTCGTCATTCATGAAGTTACAACAAATTATGACACATATAATAATTACGTACATATACAGCCCACGACTAGATATACTAGATATGGGTCATTCCATGTAAAAAGGAAAACGACTTAAATTTAAATATGCCCACATTATCTCTATTTCAGTAGTAGTCTCTTTTTAAATGACTACATTTCATTAATATGTTGAAGGATATTAAGAAAATAAAAACAATGGAATGTGAAAAATTACAGAAAGTGTTTTTATAGACTGTACAGAAACCCTAATCTTAAAAAAAATAAAATATCATCGCTCATAGAAACATCGATATTTGAATTTGTCATCGCTGGTATAAAAAATCTTTATTTGCAATTACCTGTA